AGTGTTGGAGGATTAACCCTAGATCAACCAATGACTCTGCAGTTGGGAAACCCGCCCTCAAGAGTGAGAGAACATGTTGCATTGCTCCTGATTACACTGTGTTAAGGCTTTCTGCCTACTGGCTGGGAAAGCTGGAATATCCCTCCCAATAGGTGCAGGAAAACCTGGAGAGATCCAAGCTCCCAAGGTATCTTGTCTCTCCATTGAGTTAGCTCTTATCCTTCCCAGCAAGTCTGCTCTGCAGTGCTGCTACAACCCCAGTACTTGTTCTGGAGTGAGGAAGGCTGGCAAACAGTTCCATCCAGATAGTGCCAAACACATTAATGCTGGTAGAGTGTCCCCTTGCTGGTTTGGAACAGGTCCTTTCCAAATTTGTTCATGAACTTGGGGTGCGGGGGTTGTTTGTCTGATCATTTATTTTTTAAGGGAAGTGAATTTTTAGTGCTGATGGAATGTGCCAAATTGACTTCCCTAGAGACTGAAGTCCTCTGTCTACAGAAACTGGTATAGCATAGGTGGTGGCAGTAAGAGACCACACAGCCCCATGGCTGCACCTTAACCCTGTCCTCGCAATCTTAGATAGCCAACAGATGTGCCAGTTTTGGAGCTGGCTTTTGCAGTATGGACATACCTTCTCCGAGAACAGAACTAAGACCCGTTAACCAGAGAACTAGTTAGATTCACTACTAGCCTCTGCCAGATTTGAATGGGTGATGAACATTAGCAGCCCTTTTCACTGTGGGGTGGGGAAGCTTATTCCAGTAACAGATCATTTTAAGTGGGGCAACCAGAGAGATTTGCGGGGGTTGGCTTCTTACGCCTTTTGGCTCAGTTCTTATGTGTTACCTGCTTAATATTTGTTCTGTGTTATACCTGAGAACTATATGTTGCATTATGTGCTCCAATAGGTCTTTACCATCAACTACTCCGATTCTATACCCACCTCCTTGCAGTCTTTCTGGTCTAGGGCATGACGATGTGCGTATGAGTGAGTGATGTTTCCTTCTCAGAGATAATAAGGCAGCTGTAACAGAAAACTTCTTCTTTAACTCAAGTGCTAGTGGCCTGTGTTTTTGAAACTAAAGGACAAGGCTTCTACTTCTAGCTCCTCAGGTGTGTGCAGGTGGTTTATCTAGGCATTGTGTTGGCCTTTTACAGTACATAGATTTGTTACACTGCTTCTATTTTAAGACCAGTTCCTTGTGCCAAACATACTTCTAGTCTGAACGTGGGTATTTTGGTTCAGACATAAGTTGCAAAAAAGCAGTGATGTTGAGACAGGTGGGTTTATGACTGCAAATACAGGAAGCATTCAGTCTTCTTTAGAGTTAAATTGTAGGTAGGGGACTTTGTTGCATGACACCAAGTTCCCTTTTTCAGTGCTGTATATATCAATGTCTTTCTCTTTTTAGACAACCTCATAAATTCTACGCAGGTTAAAAATTACAGCCCTGCATCTGAGTGAGTTGTACAGGCTGTACCATACCTAAATACCTATAAAAATGTGAGCTTTAGTCTCTCTCAGACTCAGTTCCCTATCTCGAAAATGGGAATAATAGTACTTCCTTCCCTTACAGGGGTGCTGTGAGGATATGTGAAAGATACGTGCAAGGGTTTGAGATGCTCTGATATAGCAGTAATGGGAGTCATATACGTACCTAAATTAGATAGATATATTGTAAAATTTCCTTCTTTTGATCTCTCAATCTATTTTTGGAAAATTCTTGATGAATTAGACGTGTGATTCTTGTCTGTTATAATAATTACTATCATTTATTGAGAGCTGATGAGTGACAGCGTGCTGTACAGAACATGGTGCAGGTAGCATAATCATTGCAAACTGTAATATTCCAGAAAATGTGTCTTTTTCCCCCCCCCCCCTTTTAAGGCTGTCCATGTCCAGGAGATTGAAAGGTAAAAGGAGTTTATTCACAGGGCCTGCCAAGGCCATTTTAGTGGATGTGTAGAGCTGGGAGAAGATTTTCAGTAGGAGTCTTTGGCTCTATAAATTCAACCTTCACTCACACAGCAGTTTTTAATCTTGTCTTAATCCAGTTGACTCTGCAATCCTACCTTGTAGTCTTCAGAACAGAAGTATGTAGTTAAAATATGGAATTCCTGTTGCTTAGTAAGAAATACAGTTGTTTGATCAGTAAA